ATTGAATCCAATTAAACAGTTCTAGCAGAGGCTCCCCACCAGGCAGCCCAAGGCAGTGCTGTCCTGCTTTGGATGTGTGGGAACAGACCATGATCTCTACACAGAAGGTCACGGCTGAAGATACCCAAGGGCTAAGAATTAAAATTACACTAATGCTACCAATTCACACATTTTTGGTGTGGGCTTCACATCCTCGGTCATTCTCCAGCAATGCTTTCTCTAAAGATTATAAGAATGATAACAATATTTATCATTTTTGACTACTTAACATCTGCTGAGCCACATGATTGGCAAGCTCTGTGTGCATTATCTCAATTATACTCACCACCCATGAGGGCTTTATTCCCATTTTATAGCTAAAAATAGAGAGGCTCTGAAATATTAAATAACAAGGAAGAAAAACAAATTGTTAAGAACCTAATTTAAATACCTAGCCAAACTATCTGCCAAAGAACAAGATAAAGACATTTTTAGGCATACAGACAGACTCCAAGTGACCTCGCACAGGCCTTCAGTAAAAGAACCAGTAAAGAATGTACATCAGGATGAAGAAATATAAACCTAGAAAAATATAACAGGAATAATGAGGAAAAGAAAATTAGTGTACCTATATTAGTATTAATTTTACCAAAAGACATTAAAATACATTCTAACTAAAATTCCAGGTGATTACCACATGGGAGAATAGAGAAGAGTCAATTTAAAAATAATTTTTTTAGGGAAGATATAAATACTATAGATACTCTATTATTGTTTAATACATTACTCTCAGAAAGTGATAAATATGTTACGCAAATTTAGTAATGATAAAGAGGATTTGATAATACAACATGCTTGGTTAGGCAAATAGATAAATAAATGCCAACAAGCAGTAACTCATTGTTAGGTCAATGATGCTGAAAACAGTCTCTCTTGATATTGTGATCCCCCAAATGACATGGCAATCTTCATGAATCAAATTTCAAACACATAGAAATCTAAATAATGAAGCAAAGTCTAGTATTTCATTATATGCAACTCTGAATTAATGTGCAACAAAGGACAGGAAAATAAAGATCTAGAAGTAGATATTTTAAAACATAGATATAAAAGCTCTTCAATAAAATATTATTTTGGAATCTACCGGAATATTACACAAAAAGGACAATTCACTCTGACAGGTAGGTTTTACTCTGTGACTGTAAGGGCAGAGCACTAAATAATCCCATGACTTTGATAACTCATTGACTTTTAAATACAAGTAGATAGCAAAGGAAAGTGAGAGTACAACATGAAAAGGAAAGGTCTCCTTTCCTCATCTGAAACCAAATCTCTCACCTGAAAAAGATCACTATCTATATATTTTGTCACATGAAGAAGTTTAATAAAGACAAGCATTGGGATATTTTAAAGTTCAAAAGCTCAAAGCAAGAAAACATTAGGGACACTGCAAAGAGACATTAATAGTGTCGAGCTCTGTTTCATCTGCACCATCTTCTTTTTCCCCCCTATTGTTTCTTTGGACATCCTTCTTGGCCCCTCATTTTCTCTGTCTCCCTAGCGAGTCTGTCTGCAAGCAACACTCTCGCCAGTCTCTCTCTTGCTGTCTTCATTTTCCTTTCCTGTTTCTTGATATCTTTCTCAGTTACCAGAAATTGTTTGCAGGGGAGCTGTGGGATGCCCAGATCAGCACCTGGAGTCATCTCTGCCACATGCGAGGACCCGGCAGGGTTGGACATGGAGCTGCAGTGAGCACCACCTGTGAGAACGCCTGGTAGGGACTCACCTGTGCAACTAGGCACTAATGCTTGCAAGGCTTTGGTGAGATTGAAAGAGCTTAGCAGTTGTCCTTCGCTGCTGCAGGCCTGGAGCCCTTGAAGTCTCTTCTGCCAGCACACCTGTTGGGGCTTGTCCAAGGTCTCCTTCCACTGGTGGCACCTGACCTCATTGCCTGGGTGGGATGTGATTCTCGTAACTGGGCTCCTGAATATGTTATTGGACATCCTCAAAGGGATGGAGATGCTTAGATCAGGCTTTGGTTTGGGTTGGTTTACCCAGTCATGACACTTCCTCTGTGAAGTCTTGACCATCATATTTCTTTTCCATTTACTCTATAAAAATAAATCGTAAATTGGATTTACATGATAAATGAAGCCTGCCTTCCTAGGACGGTTACTTCAGCTGTCTTGTGCTTCCGCCCTCCCTCTGGGGATAAATGTGACCTGCATCCTGGGACATCATCAAGCAGATATGTATCAAGAACAAAAAGAGCAAGGTCAAAACCCAGAATCTACTCCACGTCATTTCTCCTTCAATATCTTATAACACCCTCTCCTTTATGAGCAGCTTTCATTCTCTTTGTCCTAGTCACTCTCAGCCTCACCTGACTGAGTCTTGGTACTCTCTCATGACACACAGTCCCCAGTCCTTTACTAGGTCCCAAATCCTACCATTCTTCTGTGTTATGGGAGTATTCATTTGGTTAACCCATTGACCACTTGGGTTTTAGAGCTAAAATCATTAGTGACACCACCAACCGGCCCACTTTTAGTGACTCACTCCCATATTCCAGAAGTTTGGTCATGTTCAAAAATAAATAATTCAGAAAACATGTTCACCCACTACAAATTTCTGACTTCCAATATTTTTAAACACTCATACAATAGATACCTGTTCCTCAAAATTGCAAGTTATGCCAGATCACCATATTCTTATCTAAATTTCTCCGCTTCTGTTCTTGTTAATGAGAAGGCACAGTTCTCTGGGAAGGACAATAATGCTGGGAAAAACAGGAGGCAGCAGGAAAAGAGGAAGAACAAACAGCAGATGGATTGACTCCGTAAAAGAAGCCATAGGCATGAGTTTACAGGAGCTGGGCAGGGCCGCTGAGGACAGGACACTGTGGACATCACTCATTCATAGGGTTGCCGGGAGTCAGAGCTGACTCAATGGCACACAACACATGCGTTCCTGTCAGCCCCGGATTCCGTGGACTATGATCTCAACAATTCCCTGGCTAATCCAAAATTCCTTACCACTCATCATACCTGCCTTGTAAAACTTCAAATCCAAAGATCTTGATTACCTGCCACGCCGTAGTTACCACTGGTCTTAAGATAACTGCATGATATTTTGGTACCAATGTAAATACAAAATCATCTACGTCCACCAGGAAGCATCCATAATGCCTGAAATTTTTACTTTCTTTTTATGTGTTGGCATATTTACTCCTTGATTTTTCCTATAGCCTGATTCATATTTTCTCCACTTTTTTCTTTCTTATATATTCAATATCCCTTAATCTGTCTGCTATTTCAGAGAAGTTGTGAAATACTACTAGATTGAAATTGTACCGCTATAGCTGCCAAATCTGCAAATATCTCTGATAAGCTTCTATTGCTTCCCAATTCCCTCTAATTATATTTAAAGAAATTTCTTTTATCTTCCAATGGTGATTTGGATCTTGTCCCTCCTTCCTCCTTATTTAAGCTCATCCTCCCAATATTCCGTATTACCCCTGTATTTTTACTCTCTCTTTATGAACTGAATCCTTTCCCCTGCATTTATGTAGTTGCAAGTCTTTCCTATCTCCACAGAAATCTCTCACTTGACCTTCCTGGCCCCGTCTTCAACCACGGCTCCTTCTACTCCCACCTCTTAGTTGTGAACCACTGAGAAGGGTCATATCATCATGTGTCTCTGTGGCCTCACCTTCAACTCCTCCTTAGACCATCCAGCACTGCCATCTGCCGTCACCATTCTAGGGTAAGGTCACAATGACTCCTTTGTTACTACAGCCAACAGGAACTTTTTACTGTTCATCTGACATCTTTAAGTGGAAAGCTTTTTAATATATTTGGATAACTTATTTATGTGAATATCATTTCACAGCTGTGAATCTTATAAAATCTAAATACAGAGCAGGTATATCTGATAAAATACAACTCACAAAGGGAGAGTATGTCATAAATGGAAAGTACAAACTGGATTTCTGGACTCAGTACAAAAAAATGTAAACTAACTCAATGTTTACACAGATGGCATTTAGAAACCATAATATTTTGGCTCTAATGGGTTAAAATATACAACTAAAGTTACTTTCACCTGTTTGTTTTTACTTTATTTAATGTGGCTACTGAAAAAATATACTCCATAATATAGAATGCTTAATCCTATTGGACAGAGTTGGTCAAGCCATGATTGAAAATAAAGCCCACGGAAAGTGGTCAGGGAACATTTTTCCCAAGGTAAGAAGTCTACCCTGGGCTCCACTGCAAGATGCAGCAAACATACATATTCTCTCTCTCTCTCTCTCTCTCTCTCTCTCTCTCTCACACACACACACACAAACAAAACCAAACCAATATTGTCCCAGAGTGCCACCACTAATTCTCAGACGCCATGAGGTTGCACTCCTACATAGTCCTAACTGGACTAATCTCAAGTGTGAAGTTAGAAGTCAAGATAATTTATCAAGTAGGAAGAGCCAAAACCAGAGACTAAGAGCCAAAACTTTTCATAAAATCTCTTTGGCTTCTATTAAACATTCAATATATTTGGAAAACTTTTTCAGAGAGGGTTGTTTTAAAAATCACTTTACCTTTACTATGTAAAAATATACAAGATGTGTTAAGAATAATTACTCTAGCCAATATATGAAAAGGAGATGGTAGAACATGAATATCATTACTACTAAATCACTACCGGATTAGTAAATCAGTCAAGGGACAGATGACACTGGGTTAATTTGGAACTTGTTAGGCTGATTCTGATTAGAGCACCGTCATATTGATTATTAGACGTTAGGACCTGTGAACCGTGCCGGCCTCGCCTGCTATTTAATTACCAAGGCTCACCAAACAGACAAGTCCTTGCTGACAAATCCCCTGGCTCCACTTCTGACAACATCTGGAATATTTCCCCAAATCCCCCTTTGTCATGACACTCTTATACCTGCCACAGGCCAGGAAACATTTTCTCCAGGGTCCACGCTCTGTGGTGCTCAGTTCTGGGAGTGACACTTCTCCCTCGGGTGAAGAAAAGATCAGGGTGCAGACCTAGCGAGTTGCAGGAATTAGCACAAAAACCAGGATTTGCTGACAGAAGAGAAGCTTTTGTACGCACAGCCACCAGGGTCCACGAAGGCCCAGTGATTCCTAGTTAGCATGGAGGAGGCAGATGCAGGACACAGCAGGTATGTTGGGTATGATTGTGCTTGGCGAGGCCTGGAGCATGACATATGTGATACTGGTGATGCGTTCAACAATGCTGTTCATTGGTTTAGTCACCTTATGTTATGGAGTGCTTTCAACACACATCAAGGCGCTAGCACCTGCCCTTTAGAGCTTATAGTGTCAGAAAAAAAATTAAATTTTATTTATAATACATCGATATAGCGCCTGTGGGAGTAGCCAGCCAACAGACACAAAGGAGATTTTCTTTGTTGGCTAGTATGTAAATACATTTTCTTTAAAAAGGAAGTGTTTTCTCCACTTGTTGAAGTTCTCTCACTTGGTTTTCAAATTCTGAGAAAGAAGTATTCAAGTGTCCTATGATGATTGTTTTCCTCAAGTTTGTATATTCTCTAACAGTTTATGCTTTATATTATTTTAACACCATCTTATTTGGTGTGTGAAAGCTGAATGCTATTATATCTTCTTGGTGATTTTATCTTATATCAATGGATAGTAAACCATTTTATCCTATTTATTCTTTTTTGCCCTGAAGTCTATGTGGATAATGCTATTGATACTCCTATTTTGTTTTGTTGGTATGTGTTATACTTGTATTTATTTCTGTATTATCTACTTTTCTGCTATTTTAAGTGTGAAATTATTTTGGGGAAACCAAAAGTAGCTGGATTGTTTTTCTAGATGTCTCTTCTTTTTCTCTTGTTCTTGGTACTTTCAATTGGCTCTAGGTTTTCAATTGACCTACGTTGTGTAAATTTGTTTTTCTCTATTTGTATTGGCAAAGGCCAAGAGTCTAGCTCCGTGTGATCCTGGCACCGTGATCAAAGCTAATGTAGGCTGAAAGCAATTTCTCAGGCAATTATTTCGACCTTTAATCAGGATTGTGTGCATTTGTCCTGCACACCTAAACCTCCCAAATCTGTTGAACACATTAAACTCACAGGTGGAAAAACACATATGCAAAAGTCTCAAAGATTCTAAAAGCTTTTCACCCACAAAGGACCTTGAGTCCTAAGAAGATATTCAACCAAAGTTGGAACTGGAAAAGATCTCCCACAAACTAAGCAACCTCACCACCTCACACAGTTGGAAACTGGGCAGTTGGCAGGGACTGCTTGCATAAAGTGCCATCTGAAGGGTGCAAGGCTGGAACATATTTCTGCTTGACGAACAGTGTGGGGCCAGGGAGAGATAACCAACTTTCTGAGTCAGAAGTGATAGTTCCGGTCTTGGCCAAATCACTTCCTGCTGATTATGGAAAAGCTATGATACACCTACATCAATGTTTGTAGAAGATGACAATAATGAAGTAACAATTTATATACAAGGTGTCCCAAAAAAATGTATACACACTTTGAATAATTATAAAGGCAGTGTTTATTAAAATACATTCATTTCATTTTCACTTAACAGCTATCAGCTGTTAAAGTGTGTATACATTATTTTGGGACACCTTACATACAAAATATTTTAGAATTCTCAAAATCTTTTTGTACCTCATATCACTTTTTCCTTGCAACAGCCCTGCTATGTTGGTATTATTACCTCTATTTTTTAGAAAAGAGTAATTTCTCCAAGTTTCCTGAGTTAATAAAAATGCAGATTCAGGACTTGAGCCTAGTTTCTAATCCCTTGAGCCTAGGTTTCTAATCCTAGTTTCCAAATCCCTTTCATTGTACCCTGCTGCTTGTCAAACATTTGAAAAACAAAAAGCACATCACAAATGTAAGGAACTGATGTTAATTTTCTGAAAGAGGCAAGTGTGGGACTGTATGTCAACCTGCAAAAGACTGCTGGGCTGCAGCAGATTGAAACTGGAAAATTGAAGATTTTTTGGTCCAGTCCTTTGCTGTGTTAGGCAAGCAAGTGTTTAACGCTTTCAAGACAGAAAAATATCTATTACTTTTTTGGCATTTCTAAGACCATAGCTTCTACAATCTTCTTTGGTTGACTATTCCAGGGTTTTTTTATCTGGATGACAAAAAAGCGTTTTCTTCATGATACAATATAGGCCTGTTTCCTCTTCATAAAAAGTTCTAGGTTTGGCCTTCCTTGTCACGTGTCATTTTTCTGTCTCTTTTGTTCTTGCTAAATGTTCTCGAGTGTGTCAATTTCTGCTTTAGAAAAGCAGCTTTATTTTTATGAGACTCCCAGCTTCTTTCCCATTGCTTTCCTACTAGTCATAATATTGTTTCAGAAAAATTTGGTCTTTTAACATTCATTAAAAAAATACTTGTTTAATTAATTCCTTCTTCCTTTCCATTTAATAATTTGCTAACCATTTCCTCCTGAATTTTTTATCCCACAAATCTAATTTGTCCCTCAAAACCCAGGATTAAATAGAGTCCTCAGATCTAGTATGCTTCTAATTACCACATACAAATAGAGAGTCTCATCACTGATCATCATGTCCAGATCCCTGGCTGTTAGGGCTAATTCATTAAAATTAAGCAGTTTCATCTCAAAGGTCACTAGAGTCTAAGGCATCTTGGTTGTGTGAATGACAAGCAGTAAGGGACACCCAGCTTCCCATCTGTTAGAGGGCAGAGATACACCTGTGTTCCAGTCTCCCAAGGATGGAAATCCCATGGATCTCTTGATTGCTGCCTTAGTTCAGGCCACTATAACAAAATACCATAGGCTGGGTGACTTAAACAACAGGCATTTATTTTTCACAGTTCTGGAGGCTGGAAGTCCGAGATCAGGGTGCCAGCACAGGTGGGCTCTGGTGAGAGCTCTTCCTGGCTTGTACACAGCGGCCTTCTTGCTGTTTCCTCACATGGTGGAAAGAGAGATGGCTCTGGTTGATTCCTCTTCTTATAAGGGCACTAATCCCATTATTGACCTCATCTAAACCTAATTACCTCCTAAAGTCCCCACCTCCAAATACCACCACGCTGGGGGTCGGAGGATACAAACATTCAGGCCATAACAATTGCCTATGTTGTCTTCTAGATAGTCCACAAGATTGCCTCATGTTCAGAGCACATTTCTTTTGACATAAGCAATTTTATTCTTGCTAGGTCTTTTAAAAAAATGAACTACTCTTTAGTATTATAAAAATTCTTTATTTTTAAGATCATATTTTATTTTTTCTGTGCTTCCTGATTTAAGCTAAAGAAATCCTTTCCTCATTAGGCCTGTTTTCTATACATTTTATCATTTGCTCAAACATTTAACTGTAGCATACAAAAGGAAGCATCCACACCAACATTTTATTGGTGGTTATTTTAGAATGGTGAGGTTTTAGGTGATTTTTATTTTTTTCTCAGCTTCTCTTTTCTTTCCAAACTATCTACAAAGCTGTATATTTTAATAATTTAAAGAAAGTTAAAACTGAAAGATATTGCAATGAAAACAGTGTGGTTTTAGAACTAGAACAAATTAATAGACTAATGAGGGAAAGAATGGACTATTCAATAAATGATACTGGGACAACTGGCTATCCATATGGGAAAAAATTTCAATTCCTACATTACACCATATCCTCAAATTGACTTTAGGTGGATTAAATACCTAAATGTGAAAAACAGAACTTTAAAGTTTTGGAAGAAAATACTGGAAAATATATTTATGTTGTTGGGATGAAAAAAGGCTCCTAAAGTAATACATTGCTGAAAGACACTTAAAAAGACCTAAATAAAATACAACACATCCCATATTCATGGACCAAAGACTTACTATTATTAAAATGTTTCTAGTACCCAAAGCAATGTGTACAGTCAGTTCAATCTCTATTAAAATCCCAGACTTTTTTTTTTTAAGAAATAGAAAAAAACCCCATCCTAAAATTCATATGGAATATCAAGGGAACCTGAATAGCTAAAACAATCTTTAAAAAGAACAAAACTAGAGGACTCACATTTCCCGACTTCAAAGCCTAATACAAAGGTACAGTAATCAGAACAGTGATAACGTGATAAAGACAGACATACAGACCAACGGAACAGAATAGAGAACTCAGAAATATACCCTCACATATATGGTTGAATGATTTTTGACAAAGATGCCAAGACCATGCAGTGGGGGAAAGAGCAGTCTTTTCAACAAATGGTGTGAGAAAACTGGGTATCCACACGCAAAAGAATGAAGTCAAACCCTTAACTAATACCATCTACAAAAATTTACTCAAAATGGATCAAGAACTTAAATTTAAGACCTAAAAAACAATAAAATTCTTAGGAGAAAACACACCACAAAAGCTTCACAATATTGGATTTGGGAATGATTTCCTGAATATAACACCAAAGACACAGGTGACAAAAGAAAAAATTGGCAAACTAAACATGATGAAAACTAAAAAATTTTTGTGCATCAAAAAATATTATTCATGGAGTAAAAGGCAACCCACAGAATGGGAGAAAATAATTGCAAATCATTTATCTGATAAGGGATTAATACCCAGAATATACAGAGAACTCCTAAAACTCAAGAACCAAAAACCTATAGTTAAAAAACAGGCGAAGGACTTGAAGAGACATTTCTCCAAAGATACAGGAACAGCCAATAAGCACACGAAGAGATGCTCAACATTACTAAGCATCAGGGAAATGCATATCAAAACTACAATGCGATAACGCTGCCCGAACACCCATTAGGATGGCTACTATAAAAAATAGCAGAAAACAAGTGTAGGCAAGAAAATAGAGAAACTGGAACCCACGTGTACGGTTGGTGGGAATGTAGAATGGTATAGTTGCTGTAAAAAACAGTATGGTGGTTCCTCATAAAACTAAGAATAGAATTACCATATGATCCAGCAATTCCATTTCTGGGCACATACGTGAAAGAACTGAAAACAGTTTTGAAAAGATATTTGTATACCCATGTTTATAGCAGCAGTATTCACAATAGACAAAGGTGGAAGTGACCCATTTCCATCAACAGATGACTGGATACATAAAATGTGGTATATACATACCATGAAATATTTATTCAGCCTTAAAAAGGAAAGAAATTCTGATACATGCTGCAACAGGGACGGACCTTGAGGACATTATGCTAAGGGGAATAGACCAGTCACAAACAGAGAAACACTACATGATTCTACTTATACGAGGTATTTGTAGTAGTCAAGATTATAATGACAAAAGTAGAATGGGGGTTTTCAGGGGCTGTGGGGAGTTGTTAACAGGTATAGAGTTTCAGATTTACAAGATGAAAAGAGTTATGGAGATGGATGGTGGTGATGGTTGCAAATGTATTTAATAACAATGAGCTGTACATTTAAAAATGGTTAAGATGGCTATTGTTATGTTACGTGTATTTTACTACAACATGCACACACAAAAATCAATTCTTGAAGAATTCCAAATATTTGGGATGTTTAGCCTTCCATAATAAATTACTCTAAAAAAATTATATGAAGAATTGAAAAATAATGTGCTTACTTAACAATGCACTCTGAAAGCTTTATGGTTAACCTTGTGTACATCACAGAAGGAAGTTTGATGCATATGAAGATGGCACTAAACCTTGTTGCCTGCTAGGACTTGGGCACAGAGTACACACAGCTGTGGCTGGGGAAAACCCAGGCATGAATCTGTAAGCATTTCTCAGGAATAGCCATCTCGCTGGTGATAAGCTTATGATAATAAAGTATGATGCAATCATTTGAAGAAAATGCTCCATCATGCTTCCAGTGATGTTTTCAATAAAGCAAAACACAACAAGCTGAAAAAGTTAGTCAATGAACGTCACATTAAGCCACATCATTTCCCTTTTTACTTGGTTTTGAAATTCAACTTCCCCTTTATTTTAAAGCGTCTTCCTTTGAAGAGGTGACTAGGAAATGGAGCAATTTACTCTGTGGCTTTAGTAGAGACCTTAAATTCATCCTGTGCAGCCTGGCATGTGCGAGGCAGGAGCTGGAGACATGAAAATGTAGAGTCCTGCCACTTGAAGTGTGGTCCCTGGGCCAGCAGCAACTGCACAGTCTAGGATCTCAGAGCCCTGGGCCGCACCCCAGAACTCGGGAATCAGAATCTGCATCTGAACAAGATCTCCAGGCAATTGTGCATATTAAGGCTTCAGAAGCACTTATAACAGCGTAATAGCCCACATTCCTCTCCTGGCTGCTTAAAACAGTGGAGGCAATGATGAGTGTGCATATAGGTGACTAGAAAGGAGACTAGGGTTCTAGTCTCAGACTTATCACTGAACACCCGCTGTTCCCCACCTAGTGCATACTGCTAGCCCTGCCTGCTTCTCAGGACTGCTGTGAGGACCAAATGGGATCCCTGCTAACAAAGCTGTAAGTGATCTGGGCCCAACCTGCCTTTCAGGCCTTACTCTGTACCATTTTCCATGTTGCACACTGTGTTCTAGTCACACTGACTGCAGGCAGAGCCCGTTTCTACTTCAGGGCTTTTGCACAAGCTGCCTTCTCTGCCTGGAATGGCCTTCCTTTTGACTTGTGTCTGGTTCCCTCTTGGTTATTCAGATCTCAGCCTACTAAGGTGAGATTCATTGAATTCAATGAGCACCTCTCAGACCACCCAATCTAGTCACTCTCCAGTAAGCCACCCTGTTCTAATTCTGTGAAAGGCGTTTATCACCATGTGAGCAGGGACAGTTCCTGTCTTATTCTGGGTTGGAGACTCAATGCCTTGAACTGTGCCTATCACACTAAATGCTCAATACATGTTTGTCAAAATGGCTAGAGAAGGTAAATACACTCTGGAAAAAATAAGCTACGAAATGAAATATAAAATGCTTTATTTTATTTTTAATCCTCGCCTGAGGATATGTTTTCATTGCTTTTTAGAGAGAGAGGAAGAGAACATTAATGTGAGAGAAACATGCCCTGACTGGGGATTGAACCCACAACCTTCTGGTGTGTCGGATGATGCTCCAATCAACTAGGCCACCCAGCAGGGTTAAAATGCTTTTATTAATAAAACCATCCTTGCTTTCGCTTAGCAATTTCTGTCAGAAATCACAGCAGTATTATATTGATTACTCTAATAGCCTATACCACATAAAAATCTCCTGCCTTTTCATCAGGCAAGAAAAGATTGGAATGCAAGCTGCTTTTTATCCTGTTCCAAGGAAAGGCGATTCATTCACTGTTCACATCCCTCTTTCAGGTATCATGGTGATAATTTCCATTCACATTAGTTTAATTTCATCCATTTCCCTTGAGAAAATAAAGAGCTTAAAAAAGGAAATCTGCTACTGAAGTCACACTTTAGGATATTAATGTCACTCTGCTAACAGAGCCTTGGCCAAGGATGACCAGATGGCCTGGAGGCTGGCTTGGCGAAACAGTCTGAGATTCAGGGAAGGCTGCAGGTCAGCAGCAGGGAGAACATACTGCGTTAGACTACAAGCCGAGAACTGTCCCGAGGCTCCTTCTGCCACAAAACTGAAACTTAGTAACGACTTACTGGTTTAGTTGTGATTCTCAGTTAAGCATGACAGCAAATGGTTTTAAGTCCAATGTTAGAGGTTCCAAAGGTTTATACAATTTAGAGAGGTATCCGAGAAGAAGGCCACAGCTGTTCTCTTTAATCTATCTATACTCTTTCTACCAGGAAGGTTAAAAGAACTCTCCTGCCACTACCAGGTCAGCGCTAACTACAGCCCCCTAATCACACCAGTGATGCCTTTTTAGGAATTACCTTTGCCTCACTTTCCTTAGTTCAAAAAATACCACAAAGGGAAAAGGTGCACAAAGGGAAAGTCACGTACTTGCCCAGTATGAAGACTGAACAGAGCGATGGCCCCATCTGCTGATTCCAGCTAAAATGGCAGGAAGTTAGGATTCCTGGCAAGTTAGGAATTCTGCCTTGAGCCTTCTCAATGCCCAAGTGACACACGGCACCGCCGAGAAAAGCCTGTTGTCCTCAGGCACAGAGTGATACGCGGGGTTTCTAAATATTTTCTCAAGGTTCCATGTCTTCGTTCTCGTTTATTTATTCTTGGTTTTAAATTAGCTGTACGGCTCCAGAAGCAACTAGAGGTGCAATGGTTTTATATCGGATCAAATGCTGTGAGCCTTCCTCCAAGTCAATCACATAGTCCCTGAAAAAGGAGGAAAACAGTGTATGTGCAGAGCTCACCTGGTGCTCCACCGGGAGAAATACTTCCTGTGGGCAAAATCACACACATCACTCACCTCTGCTCATCTGTTTCTGGCTCTACCAGTATGTTTTCTTGCCGTTCTTTCACTCTCAGAAACACATATGAATCTAGGTCTGGTTTGGGAACTGCCAGAAAAACAATTACGTATTCAGAAAATGCTCAGCTAACAAAATCAATATGGGAAAAGTTGCTGGGGTTAACTGTATTGAGCATGAAGGACCTGTGATGTAAAAGCATTTTGGGGGTAGGATGGTTTGAGATCTGGCTCCTTCTAGAAACTTCCCACCCATGGTTCCATAGAGCAACCACTCATTCAACAAGTGATGCGAACTTCAGATGTGCAGGGAATTCTGCTACACCTTGTGGAGGTCGCAAGCGAGTGGAACACATGGTCCCTTGGACAGTGCGTAACAGCAACCTTGGGTGGAGCCTCGCGTAAGCGGCACACCCCTCAGTGATGTGGGGGAAAGAAGTCGATGTGCACTGCAAGAAGGATTACAGAGGAAGCGTGAGCCTGGGAGGCAGCCGCAAGGGCCATGGCAGAAATATGCGTGACCTTTTGGGAAGGAGTAGGAGAGTATAGTAAGTCCTCACTTGATGTCGTTGATAGGTTCTGCGACTAAGTGAAATAATGTGTAACAAAACCAATTTTACTGCAGACTAATTGATATAAACAAGAATTAAGTTCCTACAGCATTTCATCAAGGTCATAACGAAAGGAAATTGAGTGAAATGTTGTTCAGGGACCTGCTATATTATAGAGACTGGGTCATGTGGTGATAGTCTAGAATGTTACACTAAGTGGTCCCTCACTGGCTGATTACAGGTTAAGAAGCTGCTGCCATCCCTCCTCTTCAACCACCAGCCAATACTTCAGGTAAGTGAATGCCCCAAGCTGGGCTGCTCCTCAATAGCTCTTCATTCCCTAGTGTTCCATTTGTACCTGGAGATTCCACCAACTGCAGGGTCCAGAACCTACTGGGTAACTCTCAGGTCTAATAGCCTAGCTCAGGGTTCATGCTGCCCTTGATTCCCTCATTTATAGAAGGAGTTCAGGATAACTGGCTCCAAAGATCTAAGGAGAGTCCCCCCGGCTGCTCCAGGGTTCTGGGCCTGCCAAGGAGACTCTAATTTCAGGGTCAGTTGACCCCACTGGGAAGCTACTGATTCCAGGAAATCCAGCTTAGATTTCAACAGCCTCCCCTGACCCTGCCATCGGGGTTTACAGTGCTCCAGAGGCCTGAGGGGAACTCATGGCATCTGGACTAACCAAGCAAGAATCCAATTTCACCAGGGCACCCCCTTTCCCCCACCCCCCGCCACCTCTCCAACTCCCAATTCCAAGACTGTTCTTGTAAGGAATCCAGGATAGTGACATGTGCTTTAGGAGGTGTCCACCAGCATTAAGTAGAAGCTCTGGGGCAATGGCTTAGATCCAGTTCCAGGAATTCAGATGCACACCCATCAGTAGTCCCACGGCTGATTTAGTCAACTGGTTGCGATAGCAATGGGCAATGATTGGGATGTGGTCCATGCTCCATTCCTGTTCTAAGGTGCAGACAAAAGGGGCTGAACTGGGCATGGATTAAGTCTTCTGTTTCCCTCAGGCAGATTTACCAAAATGACCAATTCAGAGTTCCACAATCTGGTATGGGTTTGGCCTGCTCCTGGTGTTACTGGCTGCACTGTGTCCCCCACCAATTCACATGTTGAAGCCCTAACCTCAGTATTTCAGAATGGAAATGTGATTGGTATAGGACTTTTAAAGAAGTATTTAAGTTAAAATGAGGCTGTTAGGTGGGGCCTAATCTAATCTGACTGGTGTCCTTATAAGAAGAGGAAGAGACATTGGGGTGTGTGCACACAGAGGGGCAGCCATGTGAAGAGACAGAAAAAGAGTGGTCATCTGCAAGCCCAGGACAGAGGCCACAGAGGAAACCAACCCTGCCAGCACCTTGATCATGGACTTCTGGACTCCAGATCTGTGAGAAGATAAATGTCTCTTGTTTGAGTTCCACAGACTGTAGTACTTTGTTATCGTAGCCTTAGCTGACTAAGACATCTGGTGAACCATGTCTCCATTCATCCTATTCTAGCTCTTCCACCTGCCACAGGGGTCAGTGTGGCCCAGCACGGGCTGGGTGGGAGGTAAACTCCCAGGGCTCAGTTGTATTTGAACTTGTGGCTTCAGCACACTAAGCTTAGTTTCTGAACAAGGTGGATTCCAGTCCCTGGAGCATTGTTGGATTTGGTCTGGCAATTCTGCCTGACAAGGCCCTGCTCAGGTATGGCGGGCTGTGAAAGACAGGGATACAAACTTTAACCTATATGCTAGGGGTCCCCAGTTAGTTGATCAAGGTTAGGAGCCCCTCAGCAGAATCTCAAAGGGACTCTGTGAAGAGGGTGAGAGGAGAAGGTATTGGCCCTGCTTTGCTTCCCCAAGCTGCTTCTCCCCTCTCCCCCCTCCCGCCAGCTCTGCTCCCCCCCTTTTCTATAACAAGAGAAACTCCTCACAACAAAAAGATTAGGAGCCTTTACTATGCGTAACGAGGTTTATCCATAGTAAGTTAGCCTCCTGTTTAAATCCTCCTTGACAGCTGGACAGTCCCTGCACAGTCTGGCATCTGTGAGACGAGACTGCCAGCTCTTTGAGAGCAGAGACCCGGTACCTTCAGTGCCCAGAAGAGAGCCTAGCGCACTGCAGATGCCCACTAGATGACCAGATGACTGCTGAAGGAACGAATGACTGAATGTGTGAGGGAGTCTCCACCTATAATGGCAGTCATAAGAACTTCAGCGGAATCTGAAGAACACATGGCTACCCTGACACCTACTTTAAATGATTTTTTGTTTTGAACTCAAAACTCGTCTTCTCTTTTCTTGCCTGTTTATCTACATACTTGTTTCTCCCTGTTTGAGAGGAAAGAGTAAAGGTAAAGATCTTATTCTAAAGCACCTGAAGATATTTGGGATGTAAATCATGGCCCCTTGGGATGACTGAGAAGAGAATGTTCTCCTTACCCGACCTCAAGAGGTCCACCTTCTGTAAATTAGGAGGCATGTGCTTTAAGGCAACATTCTTTAGATAGGTCTCTGTGTTCGCCATGTACCTGAAATACATACATTAAAATCACTATGGCAACCTGACAGGAGTCACCAGGACTATCAGACAGACAACAACAGTGGCTCTGGGATCAGCTTCATGGATACAACCACCAAACCTCATGCTCACCAGCCAGAGGAAGAAAGGCAGTTCCCACACTCGCTGCTTACTCACTCTCTGGCAAAGGCAAACTCTTCTGGAGAAAGGCTAGAAGGCTCCTCCTCACGGCGTGTCTTCTCCTTTTCAAGGACATGAGGAAAAAACTTCTCTATCTATGAGGATAAATAAAAATCATCATGAAAACACCTGCCAAGACTCAAGTGTCAAACATACTAGTTTTCTGAAATAGATTTAAGTTAATATAGAAATTGACTTCAACAATGGCAAGTCCTCATGGTGAAGACTGTTTTTAATAATAAGACCTATAATCTAGACTTCAAGAAGGCAGGTTTCAGAGAATTCATAAGAAAGATAAGGGCTCTAAAATGAATTAGACGGTTTCATAAAAGATAAGTCGAAAATACAACTGTAAATGATATTTAAGAGGAAGAGAATGGGATATTATTTAACATATTTATGTAATTGTATAGGGTGTTCTTTTTTTTTTTAAAATATATCTTTATTGATTTCAGAGAGAGGAAAGGGGAGGGAGAGAGACAGAAACATCAATGATGAGAGAGTCATTGATCAGCTGTAGCCCACAACCCAGGCATGTGCCCTGACGGGAATTAAACCCTGATCGCCTGGATCCTAGGTCGACGCTTAACCACTGAGCCACGCCCGGCCGGGCGGGTGTTCTTCTATGAGATGAAACCTACAGGAGCTGGAAAGATGCATACAGAATACCGAAGCAGATAGAATAGTGACAATTATAAGAATATAAATAGCGAGCATAAAGCCCACAATGAGGTGAGGCTTGGAAAAAATGCTAAGAACTAACAAGAAAAAAAAGCTAAAAGTTAAAGACAAAAGGCGTGTGGTTATGAACCTGGAAGGGATGAGTCTGCTGTCTGAAGTCAGCGATACAAGCAGGGAAATAATGGTTAAGGGGGAACTGGAGGCCCAGGTAAAGGAGCAGCTATTTATTTAAAGGAGTTTAAATCCTTTGGCTTGGATCAATTACATTCCAGTAAATTAAGTTAACATTTATACAGAGTTTAAGTACACAAATCACTTTCTCCTGTTATATGTAAATTGCTACTACTACTGTGTCATTGTACTAAAAATACATGTAGTTTCCTAATCTCAGAAAAATTACTTCAAACGAGGTGGGAATGATTAGAGATAGGCAAACTTTCCAAAAAATACAGAAGGTGGGGAATTCTTCACACAAAGATTAGTGTCCCTAACATTGATATGTGGCATTATATTAGAATAGGTAATTTAAAAGATGGTTTGTGAATTCAAAGAAAAGTAAGTAGCTAATATGAAGAGGATTTATCCAAAACAATCACAACAGAAGAGTAACCTGGTAGTTGAAGGTGGAGTGAAGAGGCATACTGTGTGTCTCAATATTTTTAAGACAATAATGTCTTTATGATACCTTTGGGGACAAACTGTAAATCCGGGGCTGGGTGACAGTATAGAGTAGGAGACTCATAAACAGTTGAACAAAGTACTGATTCAAAGGACAGATGTCAATCTGTAGGGAAGTCTCTGGTAGAATATTCTATCATTGGCCCAGATCTTTTAAGGAGTCAGGTAAGACCTTTGATGACATACTTATCAAACTTGCTGATGACATAAAGTGTTAAGAGACAGCTAATATATTATGTGACAAGATCAGAATCCAGAGACCAGGGAAACAGCTCAGTTTAATAAGATAAAGCTTAGGAGGAGTAAGTATCAAGCCCTGCACTTGGAGTCAAAAATCCAGCCATACAAGTACCAGACGGTGACAGGATGGGGTAATGATAACTTAAAAACTTCAGATAAGGTTAAAGTTAACGATGAGTGCATATGAGCTTAGTGTGAGGTGTCTGTCAAACATGCTAATGTAATACTAGGTGGCATCACTACCATTTTAATATCCAGAATAAGGGAAGCGATAACCCTGTTTTTCACAAACTTGACCAAACTACAACTGGAATATTATATTCAGTTGAGATGGTATAATTAAAGAAGAATATTGACAATCTAGAGCTTTGTAGGGAAGAGACCAGGAGAGTAAATGGAAATAAATGGTTGAAACATTTAGCTGAGAGGGTTTCAATGACACTCGAGAGCTGTCTTCAGATATCTACATGTAGGAGAATGTATTCATTTTGTAATAACTAAGGGGATGAGCAGAGCCAATGAGAAGAAACTTCAAGGAAGTAGAAACTTTCCAGGGTTAAAACAGATATCATACAAAACAAGAATGTTTTGCGACTTCATTTTTATAAGTTTATGGCCACAGAGCTCTAATTGAATGTCGAGGCAGCACTGCCAGGCTGTAACTCCAGGGGGCACCATGCAGCTAAGTTGACTACAAATGTCCCCTGAGGTGTGCAACACACATTCCAGCTCTGCTTCTCCAGAACAATCTCTTGCCCTTCTTACTCTTTTGCTACCCTGATATTGGGCCTCAGCAGCATTTTCAGGGCCTGGATCCCCCAAGGCCCCAGCCTAACTTCTTCCCAAGATGCTCAGTCTGTATTACAGACCGCACTGCCTTAATGCCTACAGGTATCTCCATGTCAAACCTTCATGAGCCGACACCTCAGGTAGCTGCTAAGGACATAGCGGATTCTCTCCATCTCCATTCGATGGATACTGATCTTCAGATCCCCCTTCTTTGCTCTCCTGAGATTTTCTTCCTATTAAAAGGGAAAATGAAGGTAATAAAAAACATGATATTCAAAGACTAAGAACCTTCTTTGTTTAATCTACACACAGCCCACAAGGACCATCATCATTGGCAACGCTGAGGACTCAAACACAACATTTAGGTCACAGGAGAACAAAATACTCACAAAAGTTCTCATTTTCTTTTAATTCTTTAATTACACAAACAATATATGACTACGATCTTATCATATAAAATTCAAACAATACTCATTTACAGGCATACTTCGGATATATTGCGGGTTTTGTTCCAGACCACTGCAACAGAGTGAGTCATAATCCTTTTGATGGTGGAGGGTCTTGCCTTCAATTTGTAAAAACCGCAACACCTGTGAAGTGCAACCAAGTGAAGTGTAATAACACTAGGTGTGCCTGAACTTTTAGGAAATGACCATTTAAATAGAATCTGAATGTGACTGGTCAAAAGGACCTATAAGAACTCCAATCCAATTATAAAGGCGGTAATACAGCACTCAAAAGAAATGCCAAAAAGGGTCTAAAAAGTGGTGTTAAAACACCAATTGAGAAACTCTAAAATATCAGTGTTTTAAAGTTACTCTGAGGCTGATAATAACTTAAGCCAAGCTCATCTAAGACAAGGATCACAAACTCAAATGTCTATTGGGGACAGGCAGGTAAGATACATGAGAAAGGTGAGCAGATAGGGACTATGGAGAACTGGAGAGCACACTGAAAGGGGGAGGCTGTTACCTTGCTTTGGTCAGCTGTCCTCGTACAAAATGTGGGGCTAGTAATGACAGGTTTTTAGACTTTTTATGAGAAGCTGACATCCAGATATACTCTCATGCTTTAAATGTAGATAATTAACTCAATATTTAAAAAACAAGCAAGGCTGGGCAAAATAAAACAGATTTGCTCTACTGACAAACCCTTTTAATGTGCTCTTCCTTTGTACACCTGAGATAAGCAACTCTCACCATGTGGTCTAGCTGTTCCATGACACATTCTATAATTTCAGGCTTGCTTTCCAGGAGGTCAGGGGCAAACTTTTCATTCATCCAAGCCTAAAAACAAAAATCACACACACAGACCACTCAATGGAGCAAAACAACCCTTTAAGTCAGTACATACCCCATGAAAACCAGAGCCTTCTCAGGCAACGAAAACTGCCTACCAGTGGGAAATACTGGAAATGTGCTGAAGGCAAGATGTTTAATAACAACTTTTCCATTTCTTTTAGTAGGAAACTGTGTTTACAACTTTATATTTAACCAATTATAAAAAAATCAGTTCACTTCAAAAATGTTGGAATACCTGCTGCTTAGAGTAACACCACCTGGTGTTCAAATAGGACCTTTCACCAAGTAGCATCAACACATTTCCTTTACCTGCTATTTCCACAAGGGGGCATCAGCACCTTTCTATTTGGGGAAATGAAGTAAAAATCTAAATCTACATCTCTTCATTCCTGAAGTTCAGAGCACTTTGCAAATACTTTTTCATTCATCATTATAATATCAGAGAGGAAATGAATATAGTTATCCTCATCTTATTGACGAGAAAACACAGAATAAGTTATTTACCAATAGTCTAAGAAAATAAAGAATCACAATAGAAGTGGATATTCCATCTATTAGACAGTTTTGGAACAAGAGTTTAAATCCCTAATTTATGACAGGCTTGGATGCTTGGTACATTTTGGAAATTACCAAGGCTTAAAAAACTGAAATATCCACAGGTGATTGAAGAAGAATATACTTCTTTTTCAGTTATAGGAAATTTAGTTTTAGTGCAGCTCAGAATTACATGCCAGTTACGCTCAATTTATTACTTTTACTGTTCTTGAGTCTCTGCATCTCCAATTATCACCATCAAGACACATTATTAAGCACTGGGTATTGCCACTATCATACATTTTTTCAGGTGCTCAAGCTCCTGTATTAGTGTAGCAGAAGTTAATCAGAAAGACAACCTGTATTTTCAAGAAGCATAATGAATGAGAGAAGAGCAAACTGTCATAGAGAACTTATAAAGCAGTTTTTTTAACTGATTTTATTAAATATTAGTAAGTACAAAAATATTTATAAAATACATATGAACATGAAGTGATATAAATACCTGTGAACATATAACTTCATTAACCAATATTATTATTATTTTAAAAGTCTTTGTGTGTCCCTCCCTTCTCAAAGGTCATCATCAGCCTGAATTTAGTGTTTAATTTTCTGTAGTTTTGCCCTGGCTGGTGTGGCTCAGTTGGTTGAGCGTTGTCCCATGTTCTAACCAACTGGGTTACCCGGCCAGGGCCTGACAAAATTCTTCTTCTTTTTTAATCCTCACCTGAGGCTATTTTTTTCCATTGTTTTTCAGAGAGTGGAAGGGAGAGAGAGAGAGAAACATCGATGTGAGACACATCGATTGGTTGCCTCCTGCATGTGCCCTGACTGGGACCAGGGATCAAGCCTGGAATGGAGGCACATACCCTTGGCCGGAATCAAGCCTGGGACCCTCCAGTTCATGGGAAGACGCTCTAACCACTGAGTCAAACCTGCTAGGGCCTGACTAAAATTTTTAATGACAATCTGTTCATCATGTTATGGGCTAAGTTGTGTTTCCCTACACCTCTCATTCATTTGTCAAAGTCCTAACTCCCAGAACCTTGGAATGTGACTGTATTTGGAGACTGAGTCTTTAAAGAGGTGATAAGTTAAAATGAGGTCATTCAGGTGGGCCCTGATCCAATATGACTGGTGTCCTTTTAAGAGGGGTAAATCTGAACACAGACGCATAGGGAATAACAGGTAAAGACACAGGGAGAAGACGACCATCTACAAACTCAGGAGACAGGCCTCAGAAGAAACAAACTGTCCCAGCACCTTGAGTTTAGACTTCTAGCCTCCACAGTTGAGAAAGATAAATTTGTTCTTTAAGCCACTCAGTCTGTGGTACTTTAATATGCAGTCTTAGCAAACTAGTACAATCGTTAAAATGAGAAACTATGCACTGTAGGCAATAACTTTTAAGTGATTTTTTACAGACATTTAAGACTATCTCATATATCCTCCTGGAGCTGTGTTTATCAGTGGTCCTTGTCAGGTTGCTCTTTAGGCCATGCTATGCAGCCTGAGCTGTGTCCAGCTGCAACAGCTGTCCAGGTGGTGGACCAACTCCTTGGCTGCACTCAGGAGCATCAGGCCAGAGGTGCAACTCATGCTTACACACTGCGAAGCTGAGGCTGTGCTGTCAGACACCACTATCCTCAGGCTGCCTTCCAAGAAGCCTCTGACACCTACAAGAGGCAACCAGCCTGGGGGCTCTGGTTGCCCCAGAGGGTGAAGGGTCAACATCACCGAGGCACCTACAGCACACCAGTGTGTGCCACATCATCCAAGCTGGCAAGCTCTTTCTTCAACAATAGTTTTGCAAGTATTTGAATTTTATATAAATAGTTTCTTCAGCAACTTTTTTGTTGTTCTACATTATGTTCCTGAGAGTTATCCATGTAGGAGTTATCTTTTATTCATTTTATTGTTGTTTATCTCGTTGTGTGCATAGGCCAATTTTTTTTTAATCCATTCTATTGTTGAAGGATGTCTGGATATCTGTAGTTTTTAACTATTGCAAGCAATGCTATGAACATTTTGGGCCATATGTCCTGGAGTGCACATGAAAGTTTTCTCTAGGGTATATACCAGGGAGTAGAATGACTGAGCCACAAGATGTATGTATCTTCAATCTGACTATACAATAACAAATTATTTCCCAAAATGACTATCAGTTCACATGCTCCCTGTAGTATACAAGGGTGCAAATGCTCTAGATCCTTCCAAACTAGTAAGTGTACCCAAAGCTGTCCTTTCCTGGCCCCACTTGAGGATTTTGTGTTTGACATGATGAGGTCTCTAACAGAGGCTGTCCCCCTCCCCTTTTTATTTCTGTGTAGAGGGTAAGATCCAGTTCCTCTTCTCTTGAAATAAACTTTGAATTCCATTTCTTCACTTTTTGATTCCTGACATTTGCACAGTTGGACTAAATAAAAAGGCTAAGATTGGATGGAGCAAGGGGATTCTATTTGGGAAGCTTACCTGCTCCAGCCTTTCAATGAGCTCGGCAGGAGTTAGGACCACCTCCTCACTGCCCCCATCAGAGTCCTGTCCCAGGAGATTCAGTTCCTCTGTCATCTTCTCTGAAACCTGGAACCTACTGAGAATAAAAGAACCAATAAATACTCTTCTACGTGTTTTCCATTTATTTGCAAGAACAGGCAACTACGTATCTACAACTGGGGTTGTAGAGGCTCCCGGGCAGTAGCTAGAGAATTCACAGGCTTTGATTTTTCAATTCTTTGCCTGTTCCTTCACACCTCAGAGCAGGCATCAGCTTCCCAAAGCGTTTAAACACACACCCGGAATTGCGCCCCTATCACGCCCTGCAATAATTATTTGTCTTCCGGGTAGAGGTCCCCTCCTCAGCGGCTGCGTTCACTTCAGTCCGCGTGTGAATCGCGCACCTGCTCCGCGCCTGGCACTTCTAAGCACTGGGCACATAATCACCTGCGCAGGCCCCGCGCTCAGCACAGGGCTGAGCTCACAGCAGGCACGTAAGACTGTTGGGAGAACTAATCAACGTCTAATTTCCCGGAGCCGCAAGGCCCAGCAACGTCAGACCAGTGATCCTCGAGGCTGAAGAAGGGGGGGGG